TGCTTTAAAATCCCTTAGAATTGGTTCGACAATCTTTTATTCTACAATATTTGTCTTAGGAGCCTTGAAAACTCATAACTTCAAGAATGATGTACATAAGCATTGTAAGGGATATACTAGATTTTCATCCGCATTTTCAAATCGCAAACATTTTCTGTTGATCATTTTGATAAAATATGCATGAATCTATAACTTTTTTTAAAAAGAAAAAAAAAATCTGAAGCTGTAATATAACATTTGAGTTTCACAAAATGTTTTCATATCCGATCTAGACTCGTGATCAGGTAGACCCGGGGATCCATATACAACTCTTATATAGCATATGTTAAAATATATAATTTGTAATATTAATAATTTTTAGTAATCTAAATTTCTATATGATTATACATGTGTGAGAATCAAAATAATATAATTTGTCGATCTAGACTCGTCTTCCATTATTTTAAATGATTTTAAATGTTTTAAAAGTGGATATAATATTTAGTGATAAAATATATTTGATAATATTTCGCTGAGGAGTATAATTTTGCTCTTAAAAATTTCCAAAAAATGTTATTGATATGTTAAGTTAAAGGGTTATATACACATTAATAAATTGTTTGTTATGATATTTGTTTACATATTCTGGTATTTATGAAATATTTATAATATCAATTTTACATATGAATATTCATTTTCAATTATTTTAAAATTATTAATTTTCTATTATTTTTAATAAAAATATAAATATTTTTTAATTTAGACTTTATCTAAAAACTCTAAACTTTAAAAAAAAATATTTTCAAAAAAAATATTATATAACAAATTATAGTGGATATATTTTTTGTAATTGCTGTAAATAGTTTTAAGGATAATAAATATAGTAGTACGCTTGCAAAGAAAATGATAAAGGAGAGAAACTATACATTATTTTAAATGTTTTTAGTGTTTGAATATTTATTAGTAATTGTGTTATGCATAAATATAAGAGTGACATGTCAATGTAAATAAATTGAAAACCATGGGAAAGATGATAGATAGAATCATGCCTTAATAATACAGTTTCGTTTTTTTTTTTTTTTTTTTTTTTTTTTTTTTTTTTTTTTTTTTT